ATTACCTAACTCAAAGCTATTAACATGCTTAATTTGTTGCCAGGGTCCATAATTAGCAAAGAAATATAGCTCTGAGAAATGTAGCAGGGAAAAAGGATATATTATGGTAAAATATCATATTCATATCATACGTGAACTTTTGTTAGTCTGAGAAGGCAAACTTTTTGAAACATGCTAAACTGCCCAAAGTAAATACTCCAAAATTTCTTTGAGAGTCTTTTTAAAATTAATTTATCTATTATTTTTAGAGACTTGGTCTCTGTCACCCAGACAGCGGTGCAGTGGTGCAATCATAGCTCACTGCAGCCTTGAACTGCTGGGCCCAGGCAATCCTTCCACCTCGGCCGCCCGAGTAGCTGGAAATATAGGCGTAAGCCACTGTGCCCAACACCTCCAAGAGCATTTTAAAAGGCAAAAAACAAGTTTTTAACTCCTTAGCCAGGTGTAGAGGGTCTTAATTGCCCATTCCAATCTACTTTAAATAGGTCAACTTCCCTATATCAGGACTACATTTCATTTATAAAAATAGCTGGCCTTTCCCACATCTGGGAAATGGATTCTATTCCCTTTGTCTAAAATGTATCCTTGAGTCTAAGTGCCTAAATTCTATTCAGCCTTTAAAGAAACACCATAAATATTACCTTCTTATTGAAACATTTTCTGATCACTCCACTAAAATACTCCTTCTAAATCCTCATGCTGTTTTTCTGGCATCTTTTATCTTTTATTGATTATACTGATTTCAAGTACATATATCTTTAAGCCATGTTGGATTATAAACTCCTAGTAAGTATAGACATTCTTTGTCAAAGAATGCCTAAAATATAGAAAAGTACTATGACTTACTTTGAAACTTTCTGACTAAAACCTAGAGTAAGAGATACATTTTACATCATGATTCAGTAAATATACATACATATATATGTAAATATCTACAAGCATGTCACAAAACAATACTAGCTCCCAGCTATATTTTCTATTCTATTTCATTTTTCCAAATATTGTCCTGACCCCCTAAATTGATTTAATGGGCCGGGCATGGTGGCTCATGTATGTAATCCTAGCACTCTAGAAGGCTAAGGAGGGAGGATCACTTGAGCTAAGGAGTTCGAGACCAGCCTGAGCAACAGCGAGATCCGTCTCTACTAAAAATGGGAAAATTAGCCTGGTGTGGGGGCATGCACGTGTAGTCCCAGTTATTCGGGAGGCTGAGGCAGGAGAATTGCTTGAGCCCAGGAGTTTCAGGTTGCTGTGAACTAGACAGATGCCTCGGCACTCTAGCCCAGGTGTCAGAGTGAGACTCCATCTCAAAATAAATAAATAAATAAATAAATAATTGATTTAATGGTCCACTAATTTGTTAAACCTGGAGTTTGAAAACCACTGCTCTTCAGGATTTAGCATAGTGCTCTTCATGTGCTATAAATATGCTGAATACCTCAACTTAACCTTCCCTTTTTTCCTTTTATTTGGCTTTGGCAATGACATTTACTTATCCTTTAAAGCTAAAATTTAAAAGATTTTTACAAAGTAATCACTGTTCAAAAAGAAAACCTGAATGTTAGTTATTATTCCAAGCAATCTTTTCTTAAGCTATTGGGTTTATCTGAAATGCGCTTACGTGACAGCTTGGGGGCGAACCACAACTCCACCAGTACAACGACTGGGTCTTCTAGGGGAATCTGTAGCCATAGCTTCATTCATAAAACCTGTTTCCAGAACAAAAAGATAGAAAAAGGGATCATCATTGTTGGGGGTAGGGAAGAAGGTTTATGGTTCCTCACTAGAGATCCCTTGTCAAGAATGCCTAAAATGTAGGAAACTTCCCAGCAGTTCCTTTTAACCAGGGAAAGGGAAAAGAAGGGGATGAACTAGATATTTTAAATTTTCAAATTATCATGAAGTTTTTTTATTTTTCTTTTAATTTTAAAAATATTTTTATTGTGCTCTGTATCGTTCCAATTTTACTATATATGCATACTGCCAAAGTGAGCACTGGTTTTTGTTTTGTTTTGTTTTATATATAGGGCCAGGCCTCAAAACCACAAGACCAGTTAAAGCTCTTGCTGGACTTTTAGTCTGTTGTTAACATAAACAGATCAAGGACTAGGAAATTAGTGGAATTTTATGTTGAGGCAGTGAAAATACGCATGGTACAATATTTCAACACCCAATGAAAGAGTGATATGATACCACTCTACCTTCCAACTAAACCTTCCCAGAATCTATGAGTCAGACTGCATGGCCAGAATTTAAATCATATTTTTAACCCCCCTGCTACTGTAACCTAATTATAAGTAACAAATAAGTCAAATAAGTACTAATAGTCAAATAACTAACATAAACTTATATGATGTTAGAAGCCCCTTATCCTTTCCTGTCACATCAATAAATCCTGATCCTAGAACGTTTAATGAGCCTCTGAATCACTGAGGAGGTTTTAAGAGCATGGAGGCTACTTGCTTAAGATTAAAAGAGAACCGACAACAATATTAAAAATCTCTGACACGAAAGCCCACACCTGGACCTAATCTTGAAAGCACCTAAAACATCACTTCTAAGTAGGGAGCATTCTATCACCTTATTTGAAACTCCCAACCTGGTGAGCCCCACCTCCTACAACCAAAACACTCTTTGCCCCAACTAGCCCAGCTACCCCTTCCTCAGCGGGGTACCTTCCCCTCCAATCCCTCAGCCCTCTCATTTCCATCCCACCCTTTCGTTCTCAAACCACAGTCTCCCAAGCCCTGTCCTTTAAGGGCCTTGTCTCTTGAGGACCACCCTCGCCGGCACCTCAAGCCCCACTCTCTTGAAAGACACCCGGCACAGCGCTACCCACTTAACCTCCAACAGGAGCCACCGCTGCCACCGCTGCCCCCGACCGCCCTCTGGCCCTTTGCCCTTCTCCCCTCCCCCTCCAGTATCTACACCTCTCCCCCGTCGAATTCCTGCCAGCCCAACCCGGTCCCCTCACGCTGCCTGCCCCTCGTCCTTTCCAAGCCTCCCCAAAGTCAAAGCCCCGGTAGCCCTCTCACCGGCCGCCCCGCCGGTAAACGCTGTTCTCCAGCTCAAGGCTCACTGTTTGGAGTCTCCCCGCGTGATTGACGGCTGCCACTTCCTACCACGCCTCAGCGGAACCAGACCTCTAGCCAATCCGAGAAGCAAACCGGCTATGGCCGGGCACCGCCCTTGGAGGTCAGCTTCGCCAACCAGCAAGTAAGAAAGGGGCCGACCCGCCTCCTGAATTTGTCCAATCCGCTGAGGCTGGAGGGAAAACACAACGGTATGTAAGTTCGGGTGAAGCCGACGTGTTAGGTTCGGTTGCAAACGCAGGCAGGTGGGTGGGCATTACGAGCATGTGTATTTTCTTTGCAGACAGCACCTTCTTGGCTTTGTCAAAAAAAAGCAGCATACCCCAGATTCCTGTCCACCTCATCCAAGCATCTCAGGTTGGGAGCTGGACAGGGAGTCGGGTCTGTTTACATCGAATTCTCGCGACACCTGGTTCGAAGCTCAAAGCACGTGGACATGGCAGCTGCCAATCACTTTCAGCTGGCCACTCACCCATCCCCAACCCGCCTTCTGCCCCGCCCTTTGCAATGTGTTTACCTTCCGGGAGCCTAGCTAGGCTAGCTCGCGCCTGTGGTCAGCCAAGGTGTTAATCTGAGTAAGGGACGTGACAGCTAATCTTGTCAATTTGAGCTAGGTTTGTAGACCAAGCCTGACTCCTTCCTTAGCTCAGTTTCCATCTCCCGTATCTCTGAGACTGGAGATCTCGCTGTTGTCATTTCATCAGTTACATTTCTTATATAAGAAGAATGTTTATTCATTTATTGAAAGTTAAGCACAATCCCTCATATACGTCATATGCAATACTTAATATGTATTATCAAGTTTAATGCTAATACCAGTTCCATGAGAGTATAGCTTATTAATTGGCATGGTGTTTGTAACGAATTGGCTGATACAACAATAAAAATAAAAAAGGTCTTAGCACAATGGGAGAGGGGCAAATTTAGTAGAAAAACTACTTCCCGGGAAATAACACAGTTAATCAGGGGTTGGAGGTAAATATAAATATAGATGTAAGCATAAACAGAGATAGTAGATAGAGATATGGAAATAGCTGTAGCCAAGAAACCACCTATTTGTTCTAGATGCTCAGTCACTGGCAGTAAATAGAATTCGCAAAGTGTTCCGTTTCTCAGCCTCATGTTTGAACACTGGTTAATAAAGGACTATGAATGTTCATCTATTTCCTCCCCACAAATTCCCAGCATGAAGGAGCTTTTAAGATTTTCTCCCTACATTTGTCAAAAGGTGAACTTCATGATCATGCCAATTGAAGATTGAAACTATCCTGTTTGGGAGTCTCTCTCTCTCTCTCTCTCTGTCTCTCTCTCTCTCTCTCTCTCTCCTGTTTTTGGAAGACCAGATAACAACTCAGTTTGGGTTTTGTGAGTGTAGGTGACTATAATTTGATTATTAGTCTGATCTGTTGGGAACCAGTGCATGAGTTTAGTTCAAAACAATAGCCTCCTATAATTTTTGTTTAACACATTAAGCTCTCTAAAGAAGGAATCTTTCGGCCGGGTGCGGTGGCTCACGCCTGTAATCCCAGCACTCTGGGAGGCCGAGGCCAGTGGATCGCTCAAGGTCAGGAGTGCAAGACCAGCCTGAGCAAGAGCGAGACCCCCGTCTCTACTAAAAAATAGAAATGATCTGGACAACTAAAAATATATATTTAAAAATTAGCCGGGCATGGTGGCACATGCCTGTAGTCCCAGATACTCGGGAGGCTGAGGCAGAAGGAGTGCTTGAGCCCAGGAGTTTGAGGTTGCTGTGAGCAAGGCTGACGCCACGGCACTCCAGCCTGGGCAACAGAGGAAGACTCTGTCTCAAAAAAAAAAAAAAAAAGAAGGAATCTTTCCAATATTCGAAATTCTTTCTGCTCTTACTGCTATCACTGGCTTACTTCTTTCTTGTCTTTGAAAAGTTTTTTGAGTGTTTCTCTTGTGCTTATGTCATTTTTCCCCAACCAGAAAGTTAAACTCTTCCTAGGCATTAATAGTATAAGACTTTTACATTATTGAATCTCCCACAATACATAACAACCCTGAACACGCAACAGGTATTTAAAAGTTCAGACTTATTTGAATTAAATAATTAATATTCTTATGCTTTCCAGGATCCAGAGCACTAATAAACAGGAAATCCAGAGAAGACCAATAGGTAATAATCTACACAATGGGATAACCAGCATTTGTGTAAGGTATTTCAGTTTAAATAGCTGTTTTATAGGCATTGTTAAGTTCCATAACTCTTTGACTATTCCTCTACAAAGTTATGGAAAAAACAAGCAAACAAAAAACCAAAAAGAATACACTTGTACACAAGTTCATTCATTCATTCAGCAAATGTTTGGATACCTATTAAGTGTTAGGCACATCCTAGACTCTGGGGATACAGTAATGAACAAATCAACAAATCAATATACTTGTCCTCAACCATAGAATTTACATCCTGGTGGGAAGACAGAAATAAAAACAAAAACAGAGAAAATCAAGTAGTATAAAATGCTATGAAGAAAAAGAAACCAGATAAATAGAGGTAGGAAATGGCTTACTCTAGGTAGTGTGGTCAGGGAAAACCTCTCAGGAGATGACATTTGAACAAAAACCTCAATGAAGTGAGAAAGCTACTCTGAGGCAAAAATCAGTCCAGACAAAAGGAACAGCCAGATGCAGTGGTGCACACAGGTAATCCCAGCTACCCTAGAGGTTTAGGCAGGGGGATCGCCTGAGTCCAGGAGTTCCAGACCAGCTAGACAACATAGAGAGATGCCCCCTTCTCAAAAAAACAAACAACAACAACAACAAAAAAGCAACAAGTATAAAGGCCCTAAGAAGGGAATGACTTTTGGCCGGGCACAGTGGTTCATGCCTGTAATCCTAGCACTTTGGGAGATCAGGCTAGATCAGGAGGATCTCTTGAGGCTAGGAATTCCAGACCATCTTGAACAATATAGCGAGAACTTGTCTCTGCAGAAAATTTAAAAATTAGCTGGGTATGGTGGTGGTGCACACCTATAGTCTCAGCTGAGGCAAGAGGATCACTGGAATGCAGGAGTTGAAGGTTGCAGTGTGCTGTGATTGTGCTACTGCTCTCCAGCCTGGGCAATAGAGTGAGACTTTGTCTCCAAAAAAAAACGGGAAATGAATTTTGAGGAAAAACAAGAAAACCAATATGGTTTAAGCAAAGTGAACTAAATAGAAAATGATTGCAAACTAGTTAGGAGAGGTAAGCAAGCAGTGGCCAGATGGAATATGGCCTTGTATAGAATTACGAGGAGTTTCATCTTTACTCTAGGGTGAGAATCTGTTGGAGGAATTTCAGCTAGGAAGTGTCATGAACATATTTACATTTTTTAAAGATCACTCTACTATATAGAGAATAAATTGTTGTGAGAAAGGGACAAGAGTAGTATAGTAGCTATAAGTCAAGGAGGGAGACTATTTCCATAGAGAAGGTGGGAGATAAGCTCTACAACTAGACCTAGAATTGAAGCCATAAAGATGATGAAAATTAGTCTATTTCAGAATATGTTTGGAAGAGAAAATTGAAAGAACATGATAATGTGGGATGATGGGAAAGAATCAAGGATGGTTCCTGTGTTCTGGGCTTGATCAACTGAGTGGTGCCCTTTATAAATAGGATGAACACCACTAGCAGAGTTATAAATTTCTTAGTGGGATAAATTTCTGTGCCTTCATTTTATCCTTTGTGAATTGTAGAAAGAATTGTGAGCCTCATAGGCTTTTTATGACGAGTAAATAAGTTTAAAGTTCATAGATCCAGTTAGAAATTTCTCCA